TTCTCCTGATATTCCTCGCCCCATTGATCTCAAATCTCTTCTTTCCCTTGTCAACTCCCCTTTCGTTTATATTCTTAGTTCATTCATTAACCATAATAATATTAAGCTGTAGTTTGTCTGTCTGTTATCGAACTAACCCCTGTATATATATGTTGTATGTATATTGTATGTATATTGTTTTAGGTAAATCAACAGAGATCCTGTCATCAAACATTCTTAGCTACTCACTTAATTCTTAGTGAATATCTGTGACCTTGCTCGTTCACGAAGCCCGCTATAGAAAGCAGAGTATTAAATACACTTGACATTGGCGAAATCTAAAAGGAAACGCCATAAACCTAAGAGATAGTTATATAGACTACCAACATATAGTTTCCGCCAAAAAGCCCGTATCACTTAAGGTACATACATACATAATTACTGTATGTATGTACCTTAAGTGATACGGGCTTTTTGGCGGAAACACTAGGAATAACGTCGTGTGAAATGCTTAATTTTGTTATATTAATTATTCGGGTTTAAACCTGTAATGATGATGGTTTATTAACCCTTTAGTATTGGTTATTATGCACAACTGTGGGAAAATGAAACAAAGTCATTTGAATCCATAACGTCTACTGAAGTCCGATAAATTCCTATTTTATCGACATTTTTTTAGTTTCATATTATCTCACTCCGTTTCACCCCAGTGAATTACTACTGCCCTTAAATCAATATCACTTAATTCGGCTCCATTCATTTTTAATATTACTAAGAAAGTAACTAAGTATTATAAATCACAGGGTGTCTCACAAAGAGTATATCAAGCCGAAAAGTTTAGATTGCGTTTTATTAGATTAATCGATTCGTAGTAAAAATAAGACATTTTTTATATTTATTTATTTATTGCTGAGATGGGAAAGTGGTTACCGAAGCCCATAGACATTAACAACGTAAATGCTGCCACCCACTATAACACATAACTTATAAGTCTCCTTTTTTACAATACACCAAAGCCCCACCCTTTAAACTGAAACGCATTACTGCTTCACGGCAAAAATAGACAGGGTGGTGATACCTTCCGGTGCTGAATCACAATATGCCCTAGCAACAATCTGTACCATCAGGAAGAGAACGTATTAATACTGGTTGTTCGAATTGAGTGCGTACATTGAATTCCTTTTTTTTCGCCAAAAGGCACGGTTTATTAAGCCTTCTTTAACGTTATGAACAATCTGTATATTCCGGGTCGATGTTCTTAAGTGATAGCTCGGAGTGCTTTTATTTCACAAAGACTTTTCAAAGTTCAACGCACGAAAGAGTAAAATAAATTGTAAGTTGCTTAGCGGGGTCTCTGAACTCAAACACGTGCTCCGTACATGTGATGTCAGCTAATTAATGTACACACAAAATAAACACTCCGCCATTACTCTTGTTCTGACTGGGTCGACGCATCAAACAGCTTCTTTTGTGTTTGCGGGCCTAAAGCCTATATTACGTGTAAAATAGTTGCATTTTTGTCGTATTTATTGTTTATTGGAAATAAGTAAAATGATTTTTTAAGCAAGCTTCTTTAGGCGTGTTGAGAGTAAAATTTAACTCGTGACAGATTCGTTACGGCTAGAGAGAAAAGATACAATTTAGGACGATCGAGAGCGAGAAAATAGACAGAGCGTCTCGCGAACCACTCGACCTTGGAGAGAGCAACAAAGCGAACTAGGCTGTTTCTCTTTAAACACATTGTTTACGGGCGTCGGCCACTAGATTACTTGTTATTAGTTTCTCATTACTCCTGTAGATGGCAGTAACACATTAACTATCTCATATTTTATTATGAACGAAGGATTTAAAAAAATATATAGGTATTTATTTTTCTTTATATAATTTAAACTATATGATGGCGTCGCCAGGGGATGGCTGAGCGGCAGTTTCCGTCATCACTCGTTTTCGGTTGAACTCAGTTTATTGCAATAAAAGTCAATAGCACCTTTTGAATAATAATTAATGAAACTCAACACATAATTTTCACAATGACAGGGTAAACCGACAGGTTAGTTTCAACTGACCGACTGCCTGAGACTGACTAACATAGTAATAGACGGACTGACTGTCTGACACGGAATGAGATACTAACAGGCTGACTGTCTGAGACGGAATGAGCTGACTCTGTCCACGTATCGCCATTTTATACTCTGGCGTTACGGAGTCTACCCTACATTTTATGATATTTATCAAAACAACATTTTATCATTTAAAATAATAGTCAAAACAACGTCTTAATATTACTAAAAGCCGTTATCCACGACATATATATAAATGGTGAAGAGGTCGTTTCTCTTATACACAGCATTGCGTATTAGCAGAGAAATCTAATTCAAGGATGACAAATGAACCAAAACCCACAATACTACACACCGCAAAACTTCACTTCTATTAATTACATGCACCAAATTGCACGTGCACCATTTACCATCTTATCTCTTTCTGACGCGTATGACTGAATTAACAACCTAGCGGTACAATGTTTACATTCAGGGCTGTCATAAAACTAAAAAAAGTCCACGACATCATATGTCTATGTTTTATGGTTGGCTTACTGTAACCTTTTTTATGTTAACCAAATTTGTTCTAAAGAAAGCATTATTTGTGAAGGTGTTTTTATAAACATGATATTAATCCTTATTCAAATAAATACATTATCCATTACAAGTATTTCATTAAAAAGAAATTTGCCCTTCACATCATTTGATTTCAATGAGAATCTTAAAAAATATATCAGTTTTAAAATAGCATCGCAGCAAAATAATGATCAAGCGTGTGATAATTATGTACAAGGTGCCGGCCAGCCGGTGCGCAACGGCACAAAATAAGAAGGATAACAAGAAATACCCAAATCGGTTCAAAGTGAGCTTTGAAAATTATAGATTTTTCTCCATTTCTCTACGATCCCATCATCAGGTCTTGATAACTACATGACAATTTTGGAAGTCTACCCTTTCGAACAAAAAAAAAGAAAAAAGGATTATCAGCATCGGTTCAAGCGTTCTCGAGAAATCGGCGAACATACATAAATAAAAAAATGGTGGTCGAATTGATAACCTCCTAATTTGAAGTCGGTTAAAAAGCGTGATTTTGGTATTAACAACTTTTTCTTTCTATCTTTCTTTTTATTTGTTGATCCTTTTTTTATTGCTTAGATGGGTGGACGAGCTCACAGCCAACCTGGTGTGAAGTGGTTACTGGAGCCCATAGACATCCACAACGTAAATGCGCCACCCACCTTGAGATATAAGTTCAAAGGTCTCACGTATAGTTACAACGGCTGCCCCACCCTTCAAACAGTTCAAACCAAAACGCATTACTGCTTCACGGCAGAAATAGGCAGGGTGGTGGTACCCACCCGCGCGGACTCACAAGAGGTCCTACCACCAGTAATTACGCAAATTATAATTTTGCGGATTTCATTTTTATTACACGATGTTATTCCTTCACCGTGGAAATCAATCGAGAACATTTGTTGAGTACGTATTTCATTAGAAAAATTGGTACCCGCCTGAGATTCGAACATCGGTGCATCGCTCAATAGGAATGCACCGGACGTCTTATCCGTTAGGCCACGACGACTTCATCAACCTACCAACTCTCAGTGCAGGTACAGAGACGCCATTTTCGATTCGTTTCTTTATTGGCGCGGCTGATACCTTAAATAGCTCCTTAACATTTATAAATTCAAAAATATTTTCATCTTCTTTTTTTATTGCCTTTGTAGGCAGACGAGCGTACGGCCCACCTGATGGTAAGTGGTTACCGTCGCCCATGGACTTCAGCAATGCCAGGAGCAGAAAATGAAGTCGCGGGTAAAATTTAGCGTTATCCCAAAGTAACTATTCCACGCGTACGAAGTAGCGGGCAAAAGCTTTATTGTATAAGTTGATTGTGTTGATATCAGAATTGATTTAGTACAGCCGTAGAAAAGTAAAGATACGCTTTAATTAACCTATTTTATAGTACTTTAAAGGTCTATGTTTACTAACTATAAATTAAAATACTTTGCATTAATCATGATTTTTGATCCAAACTACTAT